ATGCACAATTTTTTGAYACTWATTTTTTGAAGATTATCTTATTATATTGGTCGTGGCTACACTTCGAATGGTCCAGYTGTTCATCCAAATTTCCGATAACTCATTTGAGGATTTCGACTGGTAACTGGCGAATGACACGCCTGATGTTTTAGTTTCAAGGCCTGAATCGAAGCGGGTTTATCCGCATAGACTTCTAACTTAACATATCACCACAGGAAAAAGTCTAACGGAATGATATCACACGATATTGGTAGTTAATCAACCGGCCCAACAGTGAAAATATCTACTCACCGAAGTGTTCTCTCAATAAATCCATTGAGTAAAGCGATGTGTGAGAAGTGGCGCCATCTTGTTGAAACCAAATATCACCGAGATCATGAGCTTCCATTTCAGGCATCCAATAGGCGGTTAATTGTCACCATTGACTGTTACGTATTAACCGTCATCAATATGAAAAAAAATAGGACCGATGATTCTACCGGCCCTCATACCACAGCAAACCGTTGCCTTTTCTGGATGAAATGRCAGCTCTTGAATCTGTTCGGGTTGCTTTTTGTCCAAAATGTGGCAATCTTGCGCTTTTACATACCAATTAAGCAAGAAATGGGTCACATCGCCGAACAAAAAAACGTTGGATCTTCTTGGAACTTTTCAAGAGGTCATAGAGCGAACCGATGCCACTTGAAAGATTGTGCGGCTTCAGTTCTTGCACAAGTTGTATTTTGTACGCTTTCAATTTAAGATCTCAACATGAAATGAGTTAAGACGTTCCTTCGAGTTGCTGCGGACGATGCCGAATCGACTCTCGACGGTCTTCGGCAAAAAAAAGTCGTTAGAAACTTTTGTAAAAAGCTCATTAGGGATTGTTCAAATGTCTGTTAAGAACGTAATGGGCCATGTTTTAAAACTATGGTTTGAAATCTTTATTTCCAAACGGGCAATTTCGTRAATTGCTTCTAAGGCACTGTTGGCACTTGCTGGATGGGAATATTTTTGAAAGATGCAATGCTCTCCGTCGAAGATAGAATATTTGATATTTTTGAGAAGCTCGAAGTTGTCTGCTTTATCTAATTTGATTACTTTAAGTTGATCTAAAGCTATGATTATGTTATGTACCGTAATCGGTTAACATTAAATTTACCATTTTGGTATCAACGTGTTTGTTGGGTATAAGGCACCCAAGCCATTTACATTGAGTTCAGTATATCGGTGGTGGATTTTTTTCCAAATAGATATCTTTTTTTTTTTTATATATATAATCCTTTTCGGACGATGGTGTGGAATATATAGAAGGAACTGTGCTTTTGAATTCGCGGTGTTCTGTTTATGAAGTTGTGTGTTCATATGGTATTGATGTGGGATTTCCTCGTTTAGACATTACATTCCTCTACAACATTCATTTTTTAGTATCGAAGTTGCCTTCTCATAGCAGAATTGATGCCAAGGTCGATTATTTGTAGGTTATGCTATTATTTGATGATTGTGTTATAAGTAAAACAAGGTACAAATACATCTTGAGGCCTTTCTTATTAGTTTTCCCATTCTTCATGACGCTTTGGTGCGAAGCAATTAGCTGCCACATAAGCATGCCAGTGGGAGTGGCTATGTCCAATTATCGTCTTAACTTGACCAGTCTACTGCGCTATTTATTTCATTTTATTTTTAATTGCTTATTGTAATACTTATAAAGTTAATGATAATTACGAATAATAATCGGTGTTACTTCATAAATCTCAAAATCACCTATTAATTAATTCGAACAATTTTATGCAAATTTTCTAACGAATAATATTAAAATTAAACTCGRTGAAATAAGCGAAAACAAGATTTAGGAACTTACACAAAACAACAAAAACATTCGAAATGCATTTCCATCAAACGCTTGAGCCACGTTTGCCGCCAGCAATGACGACAAGTTTAAAAAACTGCAACAAAAACAAAAACAAGATAAAGTTTATTGTATAAATTAAATAAATTCGTTGAAAATTTTAGTTAAATAATACAACAACAAAAACACCAACAACCCGAAAATCGTCGAAGTATAAAAACTACAACAACAGCAGCGCATATTATACAACAGTTTCTGCCAAAATAATACTAACAAATTTTTAATTGAAGCACAAAGCAATGCGCACTCATTGCTCGCACACTCAAGCGAAAATTGTTAGTCGAGTTAGATAGAAAAATATTAAAATAATTTAATTATTTGTATTTTTTAGTTTTTTATTTTTGCGTTTGAAGAGCACTCACTGCCAATTTGGGCTGCCACTCATAGCGGTCGGCGTTTAAGGCAATATTACAGCGCTGGCAGCAGTAGCGTTCCGCGAAGCGCTGGATAGTTTGGCAGTCAGTCATCGTGAGTAATTAGACGCGCATGCGTGTGCGCACCGAGYCGCAAAACGTAGTGTTCGCTTGATTATGTGCCGATTGCGCGCAACGAGTATTGCTTAGTAGTGCGTGGAAGTTAGTATGCGCCGGTTGGAAACGAGTGATTGCTATAAATTTATAATGAAAAGTTATACTAAAATGCACTGAAATAAAATACGAAAGAGGTAATTAATATATGAAGTTAATTTCAAGAGCTTAAATTTTTTTAATAGGAAATAATTGGAGATTGGCATGGTTTACAACAATGATAAAAAAATTTACAACAAAAAGAAATATATTTGGAGGACTTAGAGAAGAACTCATTAAAAATCAACAAAAGTTTATTATACAGAAACAGAACAAAAAAAAAATTAATTAACATTCGAAAAAAATATTTGTATTACAATTTACAACAACAAATATATTTCAAAGATCTTAGAAAAACCATTAACCCAAAATCAACTAAAAATATTTTTATTAAACATCAACAATAAAAAATTACAACAACAATAAATATATTTTAAAAATAAAAAAACAATAAATTACAAATCGACAAAAAACTATTTTTATTAAATAATACAAAAAATATTCAAAGAATTTCGAAAAAATAATAATTATCATGTCAGAATATCAAGCCGATTTACAACTTAAAGCATCTAAAGTTTCAAAAAATATTATAAAATTGGTTGCTAATTAACGGAAATTTTACTAAATAACGTTTTTTTGTTTTTTTTTTT